CTGCTCTGACTCAGAGGTAATAACATATTTAATTTCAGCAACATTACTTGGCCAAAACACACATTAGATGGCAGGTCCAGATTTTTGGGCCCCCTTCCTTATTAATATAATAGACCTAATATTACCACCTAAGCAAACAAAAATATTTCTTAATACAGTGTTTTCTATCGGAATAAGCGCTTGCGTTCAGTCAATAAAAATCGAATAGTTCTTAATTTGTTTGAGAACTGAGAAAGACCATACCATATAGTCGTGGCCACATAACCACCTCCGGGAGTGCATTATTTCTCTAATAATTTTAACGGCCTGGATTCCCAACCACACATCAAGACATTGTTCAGATCATTTGTTTCAAGACATTTGACATGTTTCCGTCCTGAAATCTCGTGTGGGTTGAACTAATTTTTTTACGCACCTCATCCCAAACCTTACGCTGCAAATTCCAAAACGTCATTTTAGAGCTGATAACAGAGGCTTGAGCCATTGATATGCAGGCTTACGCAGTTATTAATGCAGTCTCGTTAGTATGAACGGACATCTGCATATGATCGGAACTCCAGGCAGCTCCCGTGCTACTCTATACTGGTAGTATTACAGTACCACGAGAGCTAAAGAGAGCAGACTGCTCCGTGCGCTTTCGAATCGCTCTCGCGGATGATCAATCTGCGCCGCACCTCTTCTAGTCGAACACACCGGCTAGTGCTGCAGGCTTATTGGCTCACTGACGCTGACGAGATTAACCCCTTAGGTATCGAAATTTGGTACTGAACGACGAGACGTTTTTCGATACTCGATGGTATCGAGGCAATTCGGTCGGTGCCTAAAAAGTATCGAACTCGATACCCAGCCCTAGTGATTATAAAAGGAACACTCTTTATGTGCGATTCAGTTGCAGATTGAAAGGGGTCATATGATGCGATTTAAAATTTTCCTTTCTCTTTGGCGTGTTACAAGCTCTTGGTGCATAAAGAAGATCTGTAAAGTTGCAAAGACTAAAGTCTCAAATCCAAAGAGATATTCTTTATAAAAGTTAAGAGTCAACCAC